TGTCTCAACCACAAGGATTAACATGAACTCTGCTGTGTTGCATCAGAACTCATTCGCAACCAGAGGTAGAACGTCTTCTTTGGAAGTGAGTGTGTTGGAAGAGTGTGTATGTGCTCAAGTGAAACACAGTCAGTGCCATCCAAGTTTTTAACATGACTAGAGGAGTGTTGTATAAATGTGGTCCATTGAGAACAACTGAGAAGAGTATCATTATATTCTTAACATCTACACTCCAGTAAGAGCACTGCAGTCTACCATCCAGACTCTCTAAGACTTCCCCAGATCCAAACTCAAGTCCAGAGGTGATCATTGCTGCTCCAAAACTGTGCAATAGTTTACTTGATCATTTACAGACTACTAAGACTGTTAAGACTTTTAAATCTTTGCTCAAGACTCATCGTGTTCCTTAGCATTAGATCCGTGCAGAGTCTGAGAACAAGTTGGAGCTGATTTCATTGTTCTTGTGTGTTGGATTTTATTTTTAACTTGCTTGTGCTTCCACAGTGACTTGACATATTTTCTTGTTCTTTTTTCTTGTTTTCATTTTAATTTGACTAAACTGTACAGCACTTTGGTCAGCTTTTGTTTTTTTTATGTGCTATATAAATAATTAATTGACATTGACATCAGTATGTGATCCAGTATATGTTCTGTTTGAGCAGGTCAGCTGTATGATGGGTTTGATGAAGAGTACCAGTGCCCTGTTTTGGATGAAGACAGAGTGAGTTATATTATTTTTACCATCACATTCCTTTTCCCTCAGCCTTCCCAACCAGTTCAGGCAATCCTAGTTCCTGACAGTACAAAGATCAGCCATAACGTTATGACTACTCACCCAATAATTACCTGGTCCTCTTGCCTAGGGCTGGGTATCGTTGAAAAAAATTTCAATACCGGTACACTTTACTTCGAAATCAGTTCCTGAACAATACTTTTTCAATACTACTTTTATAATTAATATCACTTCTAACATGAAGAAAATGACATTACAGTACAAATTGTGAGTTTTATTTTTTAACTTTGGTATTTTTCTATTCCAAAAAGTTTTCTTACATTAAAATAAACAAATGATTTCCAGTTTAAAAGACCAGTTTCAAACCAGTGACATGTTGGTGTCTAATACTTACTGCTACACACTGAGGACCTTTTCACTGAACAGTTTTTCTCCAGAAACAACACGTCTGTTTTCTCTGGACACAAACAAGCCTGCTCCTGACTGATGGTGTCTCCAGCAGTAGAACATGTTCACTCTGAGGCTGTAGATGATGATTGTTGCACACACAGATACCTGGTTGTTAGTTTGACAGCACTGACATATTGTCCCTCACATTCCACCAGCAGGTCACTGGATTCACTGAGGTTAGGGTTGATGCAGACTTCTGCACCTCTGTGTCTCTGCCTGAATCTTCTCTGTGGTTCTCTGGGGTTTAGGGCTCTGATCATCTCCCTAATTGACATGAGAACAAAACATCAACAATAACATGGTTGTGTTATTATTGATCAAAAAACATTATCTAGGCTGAGAGAGAAAAGTTTAACTGGTCAACAACATCCTTTAAAGTTTACTTACCTCCACCATGCAGCCTCCACTGTAGAAAAAGGCTGAAAACTAACAATAAAGTTTGTGACTGTCCTGTGTCCTCCACTTCACTTTTATTTTATTTTTATTTTTGTCCTCCTCACATCAGGGTCAGAACCTCCTGTGAGGAGAACATGAACATAAACAGTTAACATTAGGTGAACTGTTTAACAACTGACCCGATGGATGAGCACATTTTTACAAGCTTTATCTGTTAGTCAGTCCTCAGTTAGCTTTTGATTTGGCTAGCTACATAGCCATAATATAAAGCTACACACTAATATCTTAAAGTTAGTGTTGTACACATGTACTGTACACAGAACAATGTCACACAGAAATAATTTAAAAACTTTTATTAAAATATGTACAGACTTGACTGCTTAAAGCACATCTGCTCAGCTGAGCTCACATCTTGAACAGCTGGATGAGACAGCTTTAACACGACTTAAAAAAAAAAAAAAAATTGATGGTCGACCAGAGTCACTCATGGCTCTGTTCTCCGTCCTCTGTGCACTGAAACCTCTTCTTCAGTGTCAGAATTGAAGAGACTCAAAAAGATGTTATCACACACTGGCTCCTTGTCGCTCTCAGCGTCACTCTCCCTCGTGCTGTCTGCATCATCCCGTAACAGACCAGCCTCATTAATGCACGTGTATCTTAGAGGATGGGTCAATGACAGCATCTCATTGGTCATTAAGGTTGCACTTCTGGTCGCATGATGACAGAGTAGGTGGAGTTATGGTAGTTAATTTGAAACTATGACCTAGAATCGTAGCACATCTGATCAGGCATTCTTCCTGTGTTACAAAAGCCTGCTCCCAAGAGGGGCGGGGTGTTGGGAGCCAAGAGCACGTGGCCTAGTCAAAAGTAAATTGTAGACAGTAGCAGGGAGCTGCCAAGAAATGACAGGAAGTCTTTCAAAATAAAATTAAAAAAATAACTAAATTTTGAAAAATATGGAAAAAATCAACATAAATAAGATGCTCCTGCATATAAACCGCAGGGTACAAAGTGTGACACAAAAGTAGCGGTTTATACACCGACAATTACGGTGTATAAACCCAATTTATTGTGAATCCCAGATGAGACAGATGATTCACTAAAACAATTGTTTGTGTCTCTGCCTCTTTTCTGGACCAAGATAACAGCAGGAGGTCGTCCAGATAAAACAGGCTTTTTATCCCTCTCGTTCGAAGCGGCTGCAGAGCTGCCTCCATCCATTTCGAGAATGTGCGCGGGGCGAGCGCGTATCCGAACGGCAGACGGTTGTACTGAAAACAGGCCCCCTGGAAGGAAAAACCGAGGAATTTCCTGTGTTTGTTTATTATCGGAATTTAGAAGTATGCATTCTTCAGATCTATGGACACAAACCAATCCCCTCGTGGCACATGTTCGAGAACACGTTTCACCGTCAGCATGAGAGAGGGTCGTTCCATATTGAATTTGTTGAAAACAAACAGATCCAGAATTGGTCTGAGCCCTCCCGACTTCTTTGGAACCAGGGAGTACCGAGAGCAAAAACCGGCTTCCTCCTTTCCCAGGGAAACTCTGGAAATCACTTCTTTTTCCAGAAGCTCCATCAGCTCTGATTGGAGGATTATGCCTTGTTCTGGGGATGTGAGATGGGATTCTAACACTGTTGAATTTTAGTGGTGTTTTTGCAAGCTGCAGAGTGTAACCTTTGTGAATTAAACAATGCAACCATTTGTTCAAAGTGCATGTTTCCTGCACTCCAAGAGTGGAAATGCATGAATGTTTTGTTTCGTACGGGAGAACAATAACTGAGCCTCTATTACCATTTTATCCTGTGGGGGGCTTCACCCACATTGACCCATGGGAGGCTGGTATGAAAAAGGTTGTTCATCAGTTTCTATGTAACGGTTCTTACAATGTAATGTCGGGAAAAAAAAAAAAAAGAGGGCTGGCAGCCGCAGCGGTGTTCTGTGTTTATATGTTGTTAATAAAAAGATCTAAAAAATACAAAAAAACAGGGAGCGCTGGCTCTACAGCCCACACATCAGACCAGCCCACCAGGAAATCTCCAGACCCTCCTGCAGCCACGCTAGACCTGAGTTTAATTCGCTCGTGACAAATTCCTTCATTTCTCACCATTTCAGTCTTGGCATCAACGGAGGAGGAAGTGATCACTTGCCTCTTGGCAAAAAACAAAAGAAAAGGCCAGATCAGGGATGAAGAAGAGGAATTTAATACATTGGTGTCGCATACAAAACAGTCCGTTGCTGGGCAGTTTATTGTGCGACACCGCGTACACGTATGCGGTCGTAAAAAATTGAGCTTTGCACGGACATGCCCTGGGGGGTATGCTCGTACCTCCGCGTACGTACGTGCGTACCTCTGTGTATGGACGTACGTGGGAGTGTACTGGGGGCTTTAGTGTTATGTCAGTGCCGGGTGTGGGTGTGAGGGGTAAGTTCAGTTTGATTGGCGGGGTGCTCAGTTCTGTTGACGGTGTGGGCCACCCCGCCTGTATAATGGTAGGGGAAACACTGATTTGTTTTGTTTTTTACTTGGAAAAACCCTGCTCATTTCATCACCCCCCCCCCCCCCCCCCCCAAACTGTCATTTTTTGTACTGCCTCCTCCGCGTGTCCTGTATCTGATTAGGCCACGGGCCAGTCTGCTGCCGGCCTTTGCCTCGGAGAGCCGCAGATCTTCGTTGCATCTGGGATGTTTGGCCTCTGGGGAAGGTTGGTGGGAGGTCCCCAGAGAAGGTTGCAGCGGGCGTGGAACGTCTCTGCTGCTGGTGCTGGAACCTGCTTTGTTCTCGCCAGGTGTCCAGGAGTCTGCTCGGGGTAGGGTCACTTATCACCGGACCTGTTCCAGAGCGTCGGATGAGGACTGCAGCTGGTTCAGGACCGACTGAAAATGGGGTCCAAAGAGGCCATCTGAGGACACAGGACCTTCCAGGAGTTCTTTTTTAACGTCCTCTGGAATGAACAGGGACAGTTTCAACCACATCTGTCTCTGCAGCAGGGTTGCCCAGGACAAGATGCGGGCGGAACATACTGCAAGTGATGCACACAGGTTGGTGATCGTGTCCGCAGCCATGTCAATCTGGTCCAAATCTACGGAGAACGGGTTTGGTTCCTTCGGCTCCTTAGCTATGCTAAGGGCTAGCATAGCGATGTTGTTGGTTGCTGCTCCCACCTGCGACGAGCACTGATGAATTCTGTCAGTCAGCTTCGCGGTGAGCTGGTCACTAGAAGATGACAGAATGATACATCGGCCGACATATTTCACTGCTCTTACCCCGAAAACAGACAACAAACTGAGTTCTAGGGGAGGGACAGTGGAAAAACCCTGGTCCGTGAGCCCTTTGACTTTGGTGATGGCCGCGTAAGAGGCAACCGGAGCCCTCAGCTTTAAGGGATCGTTTGCTGAATCCAGGAAGAGGGCAGACACAGCTGGGAAACAGGGCCAGACCGGGTCCTGGTGTCTAGTGTGCTGGGCGGCAAACCTTCCCGCCAGAAGGGTCGATGTGGTCGGGGCCGCCAGTTTGGGCACTTCTAGGTCGCAGGCTCTTACTGATCTCCTGATTATCTCCGGGAGCTCGTGGAGCAGGGTGGTGGGTGACCCCTGGGGCTCAGGGTGAGGGGGGACCATTGAAGGCAACACCGGTTCCAAACCTCCTGTAAGGCAGGATGGAGCGCAGCTGCTAGCTGTTTCAGCTTCAGAGGGGGACGTGTTCGTGAACTCCGTGTCCAGGGAGTTCAAAAATTCCTGGAGCGAACAGTCCCTCCTCGTTTGAAACTCATCCTCCTTAAAGGAAAAGAGCTCACACCGGTGCTGTGTCTCCTCATCCGAAAATAATTTACAGGCTGGACAGGAGAAGAGCGGATCCAAAGCTTGCCGAGTGTGGTCAGCTCCCAGGCAGCTTTCACACACGGCGTGCAGGTCCGTCGATAAGATGTAGCCCGTCTGGCACGCGGGGTACAGACGGATGATCTTCGATTTCTTAATAGAAGTCATCTTACTTCTTCTTTTCTTTTCTTATTTTCGTAGAAGTAGTGTTTTTAGCGTTGGCTGAAGAAAAACGGGAGTTGAGCTCCGGTCCAGATGCAATTTATAACAGACCGGGTGAGGCCCACACAGCAGGTGGGCGTGGACTAGAAGTTTTCAGTGTTCGGTGTGCTGCGCGCCGGTAAACCCAACAGTGACAGCTTTTAAAGGGCTATGCTTACACTCAATAGAAGCTCCTGCATATAAACTGCAGGGTACAAAGTGTGAGACAAAAGTAGCGGCTTTTACTCCGACAATTACAGTATCGACCCTTTCCAAAAAATTAGAATATCATGGAAAAGTTGTTTAACTTCCATAATTCCATTCAAAAAGTTAATTTTTAATAGATGATAGATTCAAACGAAGGAGTCTCCACATAAAGATGGCGCCAGTTACGGCCAGCCGCTTGCCACGTATGCTCTGCTTGTTTTTTGTTGTTTGTTTGCTTTTTAGTATTTTTTGTTATGATGCCTCTGCTCTACTCGTCTATGACCGCACAACTCTTCTCAGCCTCCGACATGTTAAGTTGCCACTATCTGGTTTTAGTAATGATTCATCACAACTACCTCCTCACCTGTCAAACATACCGGACTATCTGCGCCATGCGCCCTGTGCCTTTCAACCTCGGAGACGCCCGAGGAGACGCGGAAAGCGAGGAGGATTTTTGGTGAGAATTAAAGCATATCTGAACATATCTGGCAACAATTAACTACCTGTATGAAAGGAGACATCATTGGATTAAATCTGTGACTCCATCCCTTCATTTGGAACATGAGTCTTCATACTGGCGACGTGAAAGGATTTCCAAACGTGGCACAATAAACTTGAAAAATCTTGGCCAGCTGGCCCGCGCATCTGCTGCGGGCAGCAAGGATCAGACTCTCCGAGTAGCCTTGCTGAATACAAGGTCCCTAACCAACAAGACTTTTATTCTGAATGACTTTTTTACCTCCAAAAAACTGGATTTTATGTTCTTGACAGAAACTTGGCTTCATGTTGGTGAGTCGGTTCCTTTTTCTGAACTTCTCCCTCCTGACTGCGCTTTCTTCAGCTCTCCTCGGACCACCGGTAAAGGAGGTGGATTAGCCTCTGTTTTTAAATCCAGTTTTAAATGTCAGCTGATCCCCACTCATTTTTACCAGAGTTTTGAACTTCAGATGGTGGAGATAAACTTCTCTCCTCTTTAAGGTGCATTCATACTAGCCCTGTTTAGTCCGCTTTAATCGAACTCTAGCTCGTTTTCCATGAAAGTCCGGCTCGTTTAGGGAGGTGTGAACGCGCCATCGAACTCTGTCATGGAACAAAAAGGCGAACTCTGGCCCGGGATAAAACCTAGGTCTCGGTCCGGTAGAAGCGAACTCCAGCGCGGTTCGAGTACAGTGTGAACGTAAACAGACCGAGCCCCGCTCCGCAGGGTAAACAAACGCATTTCTCTGACCTTACATGGAGCCGTCAGCTGCCTTGTGTGAAAAACAGTATTCTCCATGGTCTTCTGTCTCATCTTCTGCTCATGCTAAGTCCATTTTTGAAAAATGACAAAATATAACTCCTAAAACTGCTAAAACTTGATGCCACTTCGTTTTTATTTTTATTTACAAAAGAAGACGTGTCTTCAGATGTTTTTGTGTCGTTTCTTTCAGTAGTTCTTGGTGCAGCGCCCCCACAGGCGAGCAGGGGAATAGGTTGGTTCAACAGGTTGACTCGACTGCACAGTGCAGTGTGAATGCAAACGCACCAGCTCAAATGTAACAAAAGCTCATGAATATTGGTCCCGAACCGAACCAAGTCTACCGGACTTTCTAGTGTGAAAACGTCCTTACTCTGTGCTACAATCTACCGGCCACCGAAACACAGCAAAGATTTTATTAAAGATTTTACTGATTTTATGACGAGACTTATGCTACGATACGACAGCTTTTTAATAATTGCCGATTTTAATTTGCACGTGTGCTGTGAGGCTGGACCTCTGGTCAGAGATTTTATGAACATTATTGACTCTTTTAATCTCACGCAGTCTGTCACAGGTGCAACTCATGAAAAAGGACACACACTGGATCTGGTCCTGTCTTACGGGATAAATGTGTCATCTGTGGAAATCTGTGGAGCTCTTTTATCAGACCATCTACTGGTTCTGTTCACTGCGGTGGTCTCTGGCAGGAAGGAATGGGCTGGACCATCTGTGCATTCTGCACGCACAATTAATTCAAACACCGCGCTACGCTTCTCCGCAGGCTTTAATGACTCCGTCTCCTGCAACCCTCAGTTCTGCTCTGTGTCCAACGTGGATGAGCTTACTGATCTTTTTAGTTCTGTGTGCACTGACATTCTGAACTCTGTTGCTCCTCTAAAAACCAAAAAGAGGAAGTCATGTCAGCCGTGGCTGTGCGAATCCACCCGCGCGCTCAGACGCCAGTGCAGACGAGCAGAAAGGAAATGGAGTAAAGACAGACTGCAGGTTTCCCTGGACATCTTTAAAGACAACTTGATAAATTATCAGAGAGCTGTTAAAGCTGCTAAGACTGCTTTTTTATCTAACATGGTTTCAAACAACAGTCACAGACCTCGGGTTCTTTTTAATGTTTTTAACTCTGTTGTGAATCCTTGTGATGCTGCTCATGTTGTTGAATCTCCTGCACTGTGTGAACAGTTTTCTGAGTCTTTTATAGATAAAATCTCTGCTCTGAGACCCTCCTCAACACACCTTTACACAGACCCCTCCTCACTTCCTCCATCCTCAGCCTCCTTTGAACAGTTTGAGCCGGTGACTTTAGTTGTTTTAAAGGACATCGTGGACCACGTACAGCCTTCTAATTCACCTCTGGACTGTGTTCCCTCCCGTCTGTTTAAAGAAGTTTTTAACACTCTTGGTCCATTAGTTCTTGTCCTGATTAACATGTCCCTGTCATCAGGCTGTGTTCAATTCAATTCAATTCAAAAATACTTTATTAATCCCAGAGGGAAATTATTTGTTGTTGTAACTCTTTATCCTCATTTCATTAAGAGATGCTATAGACACTGATGGCTGTAAACAAGAAGGATCTCTTGTAAAGGTCCATCCCACAGTGGATCCTAAGAAACTGGCTGCAGATGCCGTCTGATCCGTCCACCTAGACTCGGCTGGCATCTCGGTTCCCCTCGGGCTGTAGGACCGCCCAAATTCTGGGCAAAACTCCTCCCAGAGTGATGGCCACTCCTCCCAGCAGTCTGCCGAGCTCCTCCTCACTGCGGACAGCCAACTGTAGGTGCCGAGGGACGATCCTGTCTTTCCGCTGTCGTGAGCCGTGTTTCCTGCTAGTTCCAGGATCTCAGTGGTCAGGCACTCGAGCACAGCTGGCAGGTAGATGAGAATGCATCCACAGAACATCCTTTCAACTCATTTGAGATTTGGGGCTGTAGTTGAGATATTATTTGAGCTTTTGAGATGTTAATCAGCTGCTGTTGGTTGTAGAAAACAGCCTTGTTGCCATAGTTACACATCATAACAAATGTCCAAAACTAAAAAAGTTTCAGTAAAAATCCTTCCAGCTGCACAGCATCTGATACCAGAGGAAACAATCATCCAAAAAA